CCCCGAGTCGCACAGGAGCGCTGTGGCTTGGGCGAGGCCCAGAGAGCCTCGCACTCAGGTCCCCCAAGCCGCGCTTGGGGGACGGGAGAGCCCGTCGCCGCGTCCCCCAGCCGACCAGGAGCGCTGCTGCTCACGGGACCCCTGGAGAGCCCCACCGCTGGCTTCCCCGACCCCCGCCGAAGCGGTAAGTAAGCGATCCGCGGGGGTGGGGGTGGCAGGGGCTTGATGGAGGTGGTGGGAGAGTCTCCCTCCCTCCATCTCTTTGCATCTTTTCCTCCTTTTTCTTTCTCTCCTTTTCTTTCTTCTATTTCCCTTCTCTTCCTTCCTCTCTTTTCCTCCTTTCCTTCTCTCCTCCCTCTTTCCTTCCTTCTTCCCCTCTTTCTTTCTTTCCTGCCTTCTTCTCTTTTTTCCTCCTTTCCCTGTCTCCCTCCTTCTTCCCTTCTCTTTCTTGCCCTCCTTTTCCTTCTGTTTCTTTCCCTCTTTCTTCCCTTATTTCCTTCTCTCTACTCTCTCTCTTTCCTTCTGTCTTTCCTCCTGTGGCCCAACTCTAGTGAGAAGGGGTTTAAAGTTTAAACCCCTTCTCTCTTCGCTCGCCACCCAAGGGGAGGGGAGGCTTTTGAAGATGCCTCCCCCCTTTTGCTTCCCCTTCTGCCATCACTTCCGGTGATGTCAGGGGGCGTGGCATATGCTAATAGCCCAGTAGCTCATTAGCATATGCTAATGAGCTCCTGCAGCTCTTTTTCTACAAAAAGACCCCTGGATACAGAAAATTCACCACTGTTTCAATAATTACATCACTTTGGGTGGAAAGAAAATAGAGGGTCTTATGTTCATCAGATTGGCCTGTTAGATCCAATAATAACTGATCTAAATACATAGTATAAATGTCAGAATAGTGGGTACAAAAAGACATCAATACTTTCTACTTCATTCCTGCCATGTTCGCACAACCTTTGTGCATATGGAATCTTTTGAAACCTCTCGTGAAGTACTGCTGAAGGCTATACATTAAAACGGGCTAGCATATAAGCTCTGCGAGTAAGCGGATCGAAGGGGCAAAAGAAATACGTTGTTAGCAAACCAATAGGAGAAATCCCTAACCTCAAGGGAGAACATCTACCAGAAGCATGACTACTCAGTACTTGTAACTCAATATCCAAGAGTCTTTGTTTGATTAAAACAAAGGTTGAGGATTAAAACAGGCTGATTTTTCTGACAGAAACAGCAATTCTTCAAAACTGATCCCAGCTACAGCAATCTTCTTTTCTATATATGATAACCATGAGGAAGACTGAAACTCAGCCAAAACTTGGGAAATGAGACCGTTAGGATTAGCATTGGTTTTAAAGTGTAGATTTAACCAAAATTTGAATGTTATAATCCATGCTTTGGTCTCAAGGAGTCTTTGATTGGTTGATGCAGATAGCTGCATAGGAAACACATGCAGGAAGGCCTAGGATTTTCTGGAGAAAGTTAGATTGAATTTTTTCTCTTCCTTATTAATAGCGCGAATCCAAATTGGGATCCCTTAAAGCAATTTAGCACAGATTTTGTTACTAAAGACTGCTGGAACATATTGATTACCCTTAGAGTAATAAAAACCGGTAATCACAAGTGTGTCATTATTCATAGATTCCATCACTTCCCTTTTATGCACAGCCCAACTAGACTTACAGTGGAAGAACATTCCTAGATATTTAAAACTTTAAACCTGTTCAATATATTCCCCTCTTATCTTCCACTTAGCCAGTTTCCACACCTTCCCCAAAACAATAATTTTTGACTTCTGTAAATTTAGGGTCAGTTTGTTTAACTCACAGTAGTCCATAAAACAGTAAAGCAGCCTTTCAATCCTATATGCGAGAAGGAAAGTAGTAATGCATCATCTGCATAAAGCAGAAGGGGGGTCAGGAAGCACACCAAGTTTGTCTCCAAACCATGTCCTACAAGGATGTTCAGTATTTCATCATTGATCTTCTGTGCAGTCCCACGTGGGGACTGTACATGAGCAGACCTGGCATCAGATAGGTTTTTACAGCTAAGAGCCTCCAGGGGGTGCTGCAAGCCGGAGCCAAAAGTTTGTTCCCACCCAGGGATCATGTGCTCCTGTGCAGCAGCACCCCCTCTACCCTCAGTCCCTCTTTTGCCACCGAAGGAGTAGGTCATGCATTTGAGTCTCCAGCTTTGTTAGGTCTTTGAAAGATTGTGGAAGATATTCAGGCTTCTGAGTTATCCACATGGCTCAGAAAGCATTTTTCAAGAAGTGCTTCCATTGTGAAGTGAAAATGACCCAGACCGATGAACACAACCTCTATCTGTTCTGTCTGGGCAAAGGGCGTAGTGTGGCCACATGTAGGGCCTGTCAGCATTTCACCCCAAAAGCCTGGGGTGACAGGGTGTCGAAGTTGAAAGCAGCCTTGTGGGGAAAAGCCATTAAAGCCTCTGAGCCTCCAGCTAAGGTGGCTCAGGAAAAACTGCCAAAGTCCGTGTCCTCGGAATCAGTGTGCTTGGCTACACTGCCTGGATTCACATCTCAGCGGGTCAAACCACAGTCACGTTCTCTTCGAGCCAGTTGTGCTTCATCTTGAACCTCCAGTCAAGAAGCCTAAGGGCAAAACAAAGGAGAAGCATAAGGTGGCGCCACAACCCAATGCCCCCATCTCCGTGCCGGAAACATTACTGACCCTACAAGAAAAGCCCAGGACCGTGTTTCCAGGTCCGGGATCTCCTCCACTCTCTGTTTCCAGTGGTGAAAAGAATATGGCTTACCACAAGGCCAGATCCCACTTGAATCCCTCTGAAGGCTCCTAGCTGTAAAAAACTATGCAATATCAGGCCTGCTTATGCGCAGTCCCCATGTGTGCCTGCACAGAAGATACTCAATGAAGAGCAGTTACAGGTAAGTCCAACTCTGTTTTTTCTGTGCACTGTATGTTATCACACCTCTAAGCAGGGGGAGAAAAGATGTCCATATGTATTATTAACATAGTTCCTTATTGCTTTGTAGGTTATAACATGGTTCACTTGACACCAATACAGAAACTTGGGCTATCTAGATCGTGTTATTCATTGGCTGACCAGCTGGAAGTAAATCCTGATTTTTCAACCCCCAACAAAAAGTGTTCCTGGAGCGAAATTGGAAAACTAATAGAAAAAATGAAAAATGAATGGAATATGCTTTGTATTACAGACGTAGTCTACAATCACACTGGTACGTTTATTTTCATTGTCTTGGCCATGGGTAACTCTCATTATGAAATCATCTGCAAATTTCAACTTCCACTGACTGTTGCAATGGCACATATGCAAGTAGGTTCAGGTATAAAGCTAATATTAGGTTATTCTCTGTCTGCACTAAATCCTGGCTTCTTGTCTGAAGAATAAAGGCATTGGACCTGCTAAAGTCCTGCTGTAATATGTAGTATTTTTGCATTTCAAATGCAAAAAAGAGCTTAGAACCTTTTTGCAGTTGAGCGGATAAAGGTGGGTTATAGTGAGAATTTTCTCCCGTCAAGTACTTGATCTGTCAAGTCATAGAAATTAATAATTTTAGCACATAGTGAAATTAGCATGCTGATCCAAAGTTTTTAGGCATATTGGCATACTGCTTGTATATAAAAGGGGGAACTGCATATTATTTGTAGTTCCCCAATTATTTTTATTTTTTAAATAGACTGAAGTGGCTGCTGTTGAAAGGGAAACTCTATTGCTGAGGAAGAGAGGATTCTTTCTCATGCAATTGCTTGTCAGTTGTGCCCAGCAGGGATGAAATTTGGATTAGTAATGGGGAGGGGGGGGAATGGGTGCAAGGGGAAAGAGTTCAATAGCCTGTCTTCTCAACGTAGTAAGTCTGGGAGGAAGAAACAGCCAGATGTCAGGTAATGTGCAGCCCACCCTGAACAGATAGCCATTTACACGTGAATTTAAGTATTACATATAAATACTTGTGAAATTACCAGGTTTTTGCTGACAACAGCCTTGGACAAAAGCACTGCTTTATCCTTGGAGGCTGTATCTTCTGTCACTGATCGTCATGGGACTTTCCCATATCCCTCAGAGAATTTCACACTAGTGTTGTATGTTTTTGGAAGCACCTAACACTGGCATGAAAAATTTATGTGGTTAGAGTGGATGACAAGATGAGAAATTTTAGATGTTACTTCTCTGGCATGGAACAACATCCATGCACAGGCTATTTTCAGTGTGTGTACAGTGTACAGATTTCTCTTTTGGGCTAAATGGTGGGTTTCAGAGCTTCATTAGTTCTATTGCTGGCATTCTTCCCAGAAACATTACTTACACAGGCGTGAATGTCAGAACTCACCCATGCTCCTACACTTCATCTTCTTTCCAATATGTCTTGGTATGAACCTTCCTGTGTCTAATTTAGTCTAAAAAATTTCCTTAATATGTACAGCATCCCATTAATGCACTTTACAACTTCTTACTGGTACATGACAAATAGTCCCTAATAGTTAATCATTTCAGTTGTGGTTATAAAGCTCAATCAGTGTTAAATACATTTGGCATGTAGCTGTTGAAATATACAAAATGAGCAAAGTTGCTTTTAAACAGTTGGTTTTACCAGAGTAGTAAGTCCCCCCCCCCCCTTTAGCTGCCATATATGTACTGGTTTGGGTACAGTGTAAAATGCTGCTGTCTCAAAAGTTATTTCAATCAAATAATTTTTTGCTTTACAAAATGGCTCAAGGCAAACTAACAGAATTATAACAAACAACTCTGTTTGTACTGTCTGTCTTCTGTATGTGAGGGAGATGCATATAATTTTTTTCCTGTTTTTTTGTAAAGAAAAGGCATACTTCTTGCAAATTTTAGAAGTGGCCAAAGTGTTGTAAAACCTCATGCAGATAAGCAGAGCCCGAGAAATGCTCAAGTTCACTGCAGCCTTATTATGTTACTTCAATCAGCTGGCTGCTTTTAGCTGCTGCAGTGGCAGAGGTCCATGTTTGTAAAGGTCAGAACTTCGGTGAAAAGCAGATCTCTATGGCTCAGAATGCCAAGTTCCAAATGATCTTGAGTGTCATGGTAAGAGGACATTTTAAGGTGAGGAAGAGCAACTTACACTGCAATAGAGGGTGGAAGAATAAACTTCTCCCTTGGACAGTGTTTCTTATTTCTGAAGGGCTGAGCTTGCTTTTCTTTGCTGCTTTTGCATACAAGGGAATACTTCCTCCCAACAGGTCAACTGACACATGGGTGTACCTTTTTCAGTAAGATATCACTCAGCAATTCACAGATGAACTGCTACTGTTGGAGAAAGCATTGTGTCTGAAGTGATGAGAGAACTCTGGCTGTGATGTTGGTTTGGTGTTGAGACGCACAAATCTCCACTTAGTGTTGCCGTCAACAGGTGATGATATGCCTGTGTGACCTTGCCTTAATTCACAGAGAACTCAGTTCTCATAGTCCATGGAATGAGAGTTTTGCTAACTTCCAGAGCTCCTTGGGAGATCTCTTCCTGGGCTTACTTACTTCCTGAAAATAATCTTAGTCAAGGAAAAAGGGAACAACTGCAACAGAAATCAAAACCAAGAAACAAAGAATTGCAGTAGAACAATACCATATATGAATACAAAATACTTTGACCTTATGGATTCGTCACCCAAAAAGCCCTGTGTACATTTCAAAAGCAAGAATAATTTAAAAAATCACACATATATAAATAAATATAAGGTATCTCTTTTATTTACGAAGCATGAATAAAAGACCAACTGTGTTTTGACAATAGTCTTCCTCAGTGGTCCTAACATATATAACACACTATACTTTAAGTATTCAGTATTTATATATGATATTGCTTTTCTGCAATTTGTTGTTTCTTCGCTTTGTTCCTGAAAATGGCACCAATCAATAGGCAAGAGTGCTGCATCAGGTCTATCTTTATACATGGAACTTACGTACAAGTTTAATTCCTATTCACTTGGAAAACTGATTTCCTTGTGTCTTACAATAAAACCTCTATTGAAATGTTATTAGTAAGATAACTGATGTCCCAGAGTACCTGCTGGACAATGCTTATTTTTCCCCCTGGGTTTTGTTTCTAATTCTGTTTTTGTTTGTGTTTTTTCTCCAAGCGGCAAATAGTGAGTGGATCACTCAACATCCAGAATGTGCATACAATCTTGTTAATTCTCCTCACTTGAAACCAGCCTGGCTTTTGGACAGAGCCCTTTGTCATTTAACCTATAAAGTAGCTGGTGGCAAATGCAGTGATAAAGGGGTGCCTCCAGTGATTGAAAATGAGCATCACTTGAATGTAAGAGAATGAAAAATGTGTTTTGCTTGATAGCAGATACTGTTGATGCATAAGGAAAGTTTAATCTCTGCTTCGTGCAAATCTTTTCCCAGGCAGGTCTGTTTACAGTGCAGTCTTAAGAATGTATTCCTGAGAATAATAATAATTGTGTGCCATCCAATTGCTATTGACTCATGGTGTTTTCAAGGGTTTTCAAGGCAAGAGATGAGCAGAGGCGGTTTGCCGTCGCCATCCTCTGCATAACAACCCCCATCTTCCTTGGTGGTCTCCCATCCAAGTAATAGCCTGTTGCTGACCCTGCTTAGCTTCAAAGCTCCAACAAGACTGGTCTGCTCAGGAGTTTTCAGGGTGCTATTCCTGATCTTAAGGCCCTTTGAATATACCTGAATTAGGATTCTGAGGCAATCTGCTTAGGGAGGCATTGTAAATTACCTTCCTGGCCATGTTATAAAGACCAGTTAAAACATTTTAATATTTGAAAACATTTCCATTTGCATGGTTGTCTTTGATAGTCACCTTTATTGTCACTTTTATCTTTGATATGTCTGACTTTATATGTGGCCTGTAAGCTAGTTTTTGCTGTTAACTATGTTTTTCTGTCTTCATTGTGAATTTGTGGGGTTACTCCCAGGGAATTCTTTGTAAGATAGCACTGGAAATTGCCTTAAATACTTCTTTTTTATACAGGCAAATAATGTTCACACATTCTTGTGCTGTGGTGCTGCTCAAGACTGTCTCCACGTTTCCTAAATAAACTTATGGTGTTTGGTTCTCTGCTTGCTTTCTTCTAGTGTTCCTCATTGCTAAGCATATAATTTCAGTATTTCAGAAGTGTAGACACAAATGCATTTAGACTGAAAAAATGTGGCACTGAATTTTCTTTACCTACCTGACATTATTTATTTATTTTTACAGTGTATACGAAAAGTTATTTATGAGGATGTTTATCCCAAGATAAGATTATGGGAATTCTTCCAAGTAGATGTTAACAAAGCAGTGCAACAATTTAAAACACTTCTAACTCAAGGTAAAAAAAAATGCTTCTTGGTGAATGCATGCACTTCTGTTTTATGGCATAATCACTGAAGAGAAATGACTGGGATCCAAAGAGTGGCTTCAGCTCATGCATAGGGATTGTGCTAGCCCAGCAGAATTTTTGGCTAAAATACCACAGTCTCCTCGACACCCACACCTCCTTCATGTTGTGTGGTGTCTCAAAATGCTTCTGAAACTCCCTTCAGTTTAAGCAACAGTTTGTCTTACATCATTGTAGCATGAGTGAAAAATCAGTGTAACACACACACACACACACACACACACACCCTGGACCTTTTAAATGACTTCACAGTTCTCTGGATCCTGGCTATTAAATGTTTTATTTGGATGTAGAATACATTTTAGTAATGAAATGCTATCTGTGCCAAGATATTATGAACAAAAATGTCAAATAATGAATTCCTCCTTCTGGCTTTCAAAGGGAAATGTGTTTTTCAAACACTACCCCCCATGAGTTTAAAAATATGGAACAGCATCTCTTCATAGGATCTAATATGTGAACTCCTTCCTGGCCCCACTGATGGACCTCCTGATGGCACCTGGTATTTTTGGTCACTGTGACAGAGTGTTGGACTGGATGGGCCATTGGCCTGATCCAGCATTGGCTTCTCTTATGTTCTTATGCCTTAATTTGTGTCAGTGGATCCTTGGGTGGACTTTGCTAAGTGAAGTTAGTCTTGCATGATGCATGGGGTAGGAAGGGTTTGTGGCATCTGCACTGTGTACTTCACTGAAGCTATTCTGTATGTATGAAGCCATTCCTGATTCTGAATCTCCACCCCCTGCCCCAACTATGGAAGGCTTTAATGGGTTCTGTTTTATTGACGTTGAACACTAGCTCTCTCCTTTTGTCATTCTGATTCTGGAAGAACGTAAATGGTTTCTCCTTGTGGACCCACAGATGGGCTGCTGGATTGTATTTGTCTTCATCTTGGTTTCTCAAATAAATTAGAATAACTTAATTGACAATTAAATGCCTTTTAAATTAATTTCAAAATTTTCCTTTTCAGCAGGTGGCTCAAAAGTTAAAACCGATCCTAGTCAACATCTTGCAATCATTCAGGATCCTGAATTTAAGAGATTCAACTGTACTGTAGATATGAATATTGCGCTGAATACCTTCATACCACATAGGTACTGCATCGCTTGGTGTATTTTAAATGCTGAAATGTATGGCACTGCTTGCTTTTGCTGGAAAAGAAATTAGAATGCCATTCAGGTGTTGAGTGTTGTTGGAACATTCTCTACCTCACTCATAAGCAAATGAGAGTCCAATAAGAACTGCTTCCATTTTCCATAGTAGTTTCTAGTTCTTACTTGGGTCAGAAGTTTCTCAGTATGCACAAATAGTAAGGTGGTTTCAGACCTGTGTCATCAAGCATATATTTAATGGAAAGACAGTGATTCCTTACTATCCAAAATTCCAGTGCTTTTCAGGTAGTACAGCTTTTCTTCATGGACATAGCAAAGGTGTGCCCCACATGCAGAAAAATGTACTAACAGGCCTGACTGCCTTTGCTACAGAGATCTGATGTTTGCATTAGAGTTGGAAGGCACTGGCTTCATTTTGTATTTATTTATTTATTATTGAATTTATGACCTTTTTAAGTTGAGTTTTCAACCCAGTTTCATGGATTTTCCTTGTGTGTTTATTTAGCAATGGGCCTGCTGCAATAGAAGAGTGTTGTAACTGGTTCCGCAAGCGAATTGAAGAACTAAATGGTGAACAGTACCGGCAAATAAATTACCACCAAGAGCAGGTCATACTGATAATGAAGCTCTTGAAATTCTTTCATCCTTCATACCTTGTTGAGAGTTTTCATGGAATTTTTTAGTTTTAGTGATACAATTGTCTTAATGGCTTCTAGGCAGTCAATTGCATCTTGGCAACAGTGAACTATGAACGACTGGCTGGTCATGGTCCCAAACTAGGTGCTGTAACTAGAAAGAATCCTTTAGTTACAAGGTATTGTATCTTGTTTCACATTGAAGAAAATGTACTGTAAAACAAATGAATGTTGATAGTTACTTAGCTCCCTGAATAAGGGAGTTTTATGGGATAAGTGTGGTACATATAGGAAATTTGCAACAGTATATGTTGGTATTCACATGTGAATGTTGAATAGTACCATTCAAATTCTGTGAATGTTTGAAAACTTGGATGTAAGCTAGTGAATATGAAGTATCATTTAGACTTGATTTTCACCATTCACACTTTTCAGACATTGACCAAGTTGTTTGGTTAACACTGCCTTTGCATGATGTACAATCGTGGACACCAGTTTCTGTCTCTGCCTCACAGCAGTGCAGGTTGGGATACCCTCTAGGTCACAATGGGGAAAAGAGCGAAGGTGGTGAAACCAGCATTTGTCAAGGAATCCAGGATTCTAATGATTGCCTGCAACCCAAATCCTGGTTTTATAAACAAACCATGATTATATGAATGAATGGAGCCAAAATACCCATCTGCACAATAACTATGCAAAATTGGGGGCAGTGTTTGTTGGGTTTTTTGCTGTTTAAGGGGCAGTAATCTTACCAGTCCAAGCATTATGGCAGATTATACTTAGTCTCCTAAATACATGGCAGAAGATGAAATGCCTGAGTAATTTAACTTTAAAATGTATGAATAATATGTGTTCTAAATTACTGAATTAAAGCCATTTAAAGGAAATAATGTATTTTAAAACATACAATATGTATGTAGTGATGTATAATCTAATCTGCAGTTAGACTACAGGTATCCATGAAGCTGGAAATAATTTTTCAGGATTGGGGTCTAACAAGGTAATAGTGGGTTGAAACAGACAAGAAGCTGTGAATTTCAAAGAAAGTAGCCATTTTCAAGAGGGTAAAGGTTTGTTTTTCCATTATGCAAATGCCTTTTTATTAGCAGCATTTATGAAAAGATATATCTTGGTTGTCATTTAAAATTATATGCTGTCTGATGCAAGACGAAATAATTTCTGCATATTGCAGGTACTTTACTTACCCATTTAAAGAGTTTAGCCTGGAAGAAGAAGAAGAAATGATGATGCATCAGCCTGATAAAGCAAGTTATTTCATGGCCCATAATGGCTGGGTGATGGGAGATGATCCTCTGAGAAACTTTGCTGAACCCGGTTTGTAAATCTGAACATTTTATCTTGCCTTCCTCTTTTGTAGCTGAAGAAGGGTGTTGTGGCAAATTAGCAGTTACAATTGTATAGCAGTTTATTTCTGCAACACACAAATAGATTCAGCTTTTATTAGAACCCTGGTTTCCTGAAATTTGTCAACTTTTAGAATATTTGAACCCTGCCTTTCTCTTTCAGAGAAGGACCCAAGGTGGCATGCAACAATATTAAAAACTGTAATAATGAAATATACCTCTGAAAATAGGTAAAGGTTTTCCTTGCTCGAAAGCCAGTCGAATCCAACTCTAGGGATGCGGTGCTCATCTCCGTTTCCAAGCCAAAGAGCCAGCGCTGTCCAAAGACGTTTCCGTGGTCATGTGGCCGGCATGACTAGACACCGAAGTGCACGGAACACTGTTACCTTCCCACCAAAGTGGTACCTATTTATCTACTTACAATTTCTTGCTTTCAAACTGCTAGGTTGGCAGGAGCTGGGGCCAGAGACGGGAGCTCACTCCGTCATGCAGCACTCAGGTCTCGAACTGCTGAACTACCGACCTTCCACAGCCTGCAGTTCAGCGTCTTAACCACTTGAGCCACTGCAGCCCCTTAACCTCTAAAAATAAACCACCATAAAGCAACAATAATTTTAGAAAATACTAAAAATAACTACTGCATCTAAAAACTCTCAAGCCTCAGAATGACTGCCATATGGCACCTATAAGTACCCTCAGAAGCTCTCCTGAATGACTCAGTTTTGCAGTTAACTGAATATCAGGAGAGAGGGAGCCTTCTACACAAACTGCAACAAGGTATTCCACAGCACCAGTGCGGCTACAGAAAACGTCTGGAACCAGACTGCAGCAGATCACGTCACTCCACAAAGCCATATCAGCAACAGAGTTATCTGGAATTGCCACACAGGCTTATGCAGGGAGGGATGGTCCTTGGGGTATGCAGATCCCAGAATGGCTTTATAGGCCAAAGCTGATAGCTTCATGTGGACTTCAAAACAAGCAGGAAGCCAGTCCAGCAATTTTAAATTAGGGGCCACTAAATTGAGCAGCTTGTATTTTGAACCAGTTCACATTTCCTTGTTATCTTCACAGGCAGCCCCTTATAGAATGTATTACGGTAGTCCATTCTCAGATTAGAATGGCTTGATTGGCTAGGTTTAAAAAGAGACTTTACATGTTAGGTGTAACTGAAAAATTATGGTATTTCTACCATATTTGCTTGCTTTTCCAGCAATAGGATTATGTATAATAAGACTCCAAGCCGCTTGGAGAAAAAACACAAACAGTTTGCTAATAATGACCTCATTCCATTCATAATAGGAGCATAACTCCTTCCAGGACCTCTGCACTTTCAGCCAGCTCCTCTCCGTTGCTGTGAGGATAAAATAGAGGAGAGGAGAATGATGTAAGCCACTTAGGGTCCCTATATGGGAGAAGGAAGAGTATAAATGAAATAAATAATAAAAGTTGCCATAAGGACTTAGGCTGAAAGGCAGGTTATATAAGATAAATTAATGGCACTGATTGGTTTTGCTAACTTAAATACTTACAACATTACTGCTTTCTAAAACTTATTCTTCACTATTTTACAAAACCCATTTCTGGACCCATCTCAATCTGGCTTTAGGTTGGGTTGGGTTGCCTTGGTTGATGACCTCTGTTAAGGACTAGACAGGGGGAATGTGAACCTGCTAGTTCTGCTGGATCTCTGAGCAGCTTTTGATACTATCAACCATAGCACCCTACTGAGCTGTTTCTCATCACTGGGACTAAGGGGCTCTATGTTATGGTGATTTGAGTCCTATGGGGGGGGTCGGTGGTGTTAAAGGATTCCTGCTCTGCCCCATGGCCATTGGCCTGTGGGGCACTGTGGGGTTCTATGCTATATGAAGCCACTGGGAGGGATCTTCAGGAGGTTTGGGCTGCAATGTTGGATGATTCCCACATAATACCTTTCTTTTTCAGAAAATTCTGAGGATGTTGTTGATGTTAAACCAGTGCTTCGAGTCTGTAATGGGCTAGATGAGGGTGAACAAGATAAACTTAATCCTGACAGAGGTTCTCTGGGCTAGTAGAAAGGCAGACCAGGGATTCAACATCTCTCCTCTCTTGGATGAGATGATAGTGCCCTTGAAAAGCCAGGTTCACAGCTTGGGAGTGCTGCTTGACCCAGCAGTCACTTTAGAAAACCAGGTGGCAGTGTGGAGTGCTTTTGCCCAGGTTCGACTGGTGCACCAGCTGTGCCCATCCCTGTCTCAGTCTGATTTAGCCACAGTGATCCATTCCTTAGTTACATCTAGACTGGAATATTGCAATGTGCTCTACTTGGGGCTACCCTTGAAGAGTGTTTGGAAGTGCAGAATGCTGCAGTTAGACTTCTGGTTGGGGCTAGCTACCAGGAGCATATGACAACTTGATACTGCAGCAATTTCACTGGCTAACAATCTACTCCCGAGCTCAATTCAGGGTTGTGGTTTTGTCCTGTAGAGCACTACATGGCTTGCGATCAGGGTATCTAAAGAATCATCTTTTCCTATACATTCCTTCCCAGGAATTAAGATTGCAGGTAAAGTGACTCCTGACTGTCCCACCAATCAAAGAAGCTCATCTGGTGGGCACATGACAGAAGGCCTTTTTGATGGAAGCCCCAGGATTATGGCACCCTCTCCCCAGGAAGGAATGCCTGGCCCCCTGACAGTCACTTTTCAGGAGGCTGTATTAGAACTGTATTTGACTGATTTAGTTTTCATTTATTAGCAGTCCTGATTGGAGTTTTTAAACTGTGACCTTTTTATGTGTTTTATAATTATTGTTCTATCCATACTGTCTTTATTGAGTTTTTTATAACTGTGTTATTTATATTGTTAGCTACCTTGAGTTATGCAAGGGAGAAAGCTGGCCAATAAATGTTTTAAATAAATAAATAAATAAAGTAAACAGAGTTTTTATATTGAGCAAGTTACCTCTAGATTGTTGCGTAATGCATGAATTGAAATGGTTCTGTTACTAACATAAGCAAAACTGTTGAAAACAATCATATTTATTTACTGACTTCATTTATAGCCTACCTTCCTTGTTGAAACTCAAGGTGAATTACAGAATTAGAAAACGATGCAAAAAGGGCAGTATAATGTATACCTGAATAAGCATCTTGATTTTTTTACAGGTTCAAATGTCTACTTGAGAAGAGAGCTCATTTGCTGGGGTGACAGCGTCAAGCTGCGTTATGGGAACAAGCGAGAAGACTGTCCATATCTCTGGGCTCACATGAAGAAATACACTGAAATGACCGCCAAATATTTCCATGGAGTACGTCTTGACAACTGCCACTCAACACCTCTTAATGTGGCTGAGGTATAGAACAACAAAGCACTATTGTAGCAAAATAACCCAAACCCACAATGTGTTCATTGATGTGAAACCTATTTTAAGCATCTGTACGCAACCAGCTGTTTTTCATCACTAATTAAATTTTGCTTCATTTTGGGATGGACTCTTTTCCTGCATGGCCAGGACCCTCTGAACATAGCAGGATGCTTTTGACTAGCTAACAGTGGGCAGCCACTGTTTTTTTTCCTCTGTTTTTGTGGTGTCGTGGTATAGAGTGTTGGCCTTGGACTAGGGAGATGTGACTCCAAATCCTTGCTTGCCCTTTAAGCTTACTAAATAATCTTGGCTTAGTTGCAATTTTCAGTCTAGTCTACCTCAAAAAAATATTTATTTTGGTTAGACCAGTGGTAGTTATTTCATGGTTCGTAGACAACCACATTCACAATTACTGGGAAACAAAAGAGCCACATGACTACTACATGCCCTGTGGAACACATCCATAAGTTATAACTACTAACGTTGTAGCCCTGACTTGGATGGCCCAGGCTGGCCTGATCTCATTGGATCTCAGAAGGTCGGCCCCAGTCAGTACTTGGAGGAGTAACCACCAAGGAAGTCCACCATCTCTGAACATCTCTTGCCTTGAAAACCCTACAGGATTGCCATAAATCAGCTGCAACTTAACAGCACTTTCCACCACCTTTATGTAATTATGACCTTTTAGATTACCAGAGTACCTCTGCACATGTAGGGTTGTCTCTCCCCATCACTGTTGAACCCTGGCCAACCCTTGTGTATCAGGAGTGAGGGGAAGAGCTTTCCTTTCTGCCTTCTCCTCAGCATGAGGCATAGCTGGTCAAACTCACTTAACACACTCTAGACCAGAGTTGAGATTGCCAAGTTGCCTGATGGAGGACCAGATGGCTAAGAAGAAAGGGAGTAAAACCATCGCTACCCCACTTTGACCAGCCTCCTCTTTTCCTGGATGGCTGCTCTGAGGGTTTTACTCTCTCCTCTCTGCAATCTACTTTCTCTCATCCTGGCAGTTGCCCTGGTGCTCAGTTGAGAGCTGCAGAGAAGAGCCTTTCTTCCATCCTTGGAATGAGGCTCATAGCTTAGGAAAGGCTCATAGCTTACCCAGCTTTGAGTTCCTCCAGTGGAGTTCACCATGGGAACCATTTGCCAACCACAGGCCTGATGAGGCAGTTGGTTCCCTTCCTTGAATGCAACGACTTGGCAACAGTAATCCATGCAATGGTCACTTTGAGATAGGACTACTGTAATGCTCTCTACATGGGGCTGCCCTTGTCACAAATCTGGAAGCTACAGCTACTGCAAAATGCTGCAGCCTGGCTTTTAATGGGTCTCCCAATGCGGGAGCACATTCAACCTGTGCTGAAGACATTGCACTGGCTACCGATAGCATACCAAATTCGCTTCAAGGTGCTGGTTCTTACCTTTAAACCCTTTATGGTCAGGGACCTACATACCTGAGGGACCACCTTTCCCCACATGTTCCCCAGAGAGCACTGCAATCCAGGTCCCAACATCGATTGGCCCTCCGCGGACCCAAGGATGCCAGGCTGACTATAAGCAGGGCCAGGGCTTTCTCGTTGGCGGCTCCTCTCTGGTGGAATGAGCTCCCAGAAGAGATCAGGGCCCTGCGGGACCTCATGCAGTTCCGCGGGGCCTGCAAGACGGAGCTCTTCCACCGGCCTTCAATTAGGAGCTGCCCCCGATAGAGAACCCTGTTCCCTGAAGCCACCAGAACAGCCTGTGTCGGCTGCACAAAGGTTAGATCTGTGGGCTGACCACTAGGATGGAATAGTGAAGGTTGACCACCATCATCTAATAATTTATTAGTTTCATTAATGTTAGCACCTTTTAATACTGGAATGTTTTATATGGTTTTAGGACTATTTAAAGTGCTTACTCGTGTGCTTTTGTTCTTTGATGTAAGCCGCCCTGAGCCAGCCTTGGCTGGGAGAGCGGGGTATAAATCTGCTAATAAAATAAAATAAAAATGTTGAAAGTATTTCAGATTAATCCTCAGTGATGTTTACAGGGACAGTGTTAAAATAATCCACTGTTGTCATCCTCATAGTGCAGATTGGGCTTAATGCTGAGAGGCAATGGCTTGGCTAAAACAATCTCCAGGACTTCACTAGAAATTCAGTAGGACTTCCTGACTCCTGCTTCCTAAAGGCATATGATCAGTCTCTCAACAGCTGTTTTTCCTTTTAATGGGGGGGGAGGCGCAAGGAGAAAGAGCCTCATATCTGATTGAACCTGCAGTGGGAATTATAGTCCTCAGTATTTCCCTGCCAAAATTCCCCTCCATGGTGGGAAAGGGTAGCATCCCCAGTGTGTCTTCCAGCATCTTATGTATTTCTAACCTTTAGCTACATTTCACTACTTCAAAGTGAGGCCTGGTTAAATTGGTGTCCCTGTAAAAAGATTATCTGTTAGAATCCAATAGCTGAACAGCACAACAAAGAAGACTTTGGGATGTTCTCTGAGCCTATATGAAGGTAGAGCATGATGACTTCTTTTGTTGAAAACATATCCTAAACAAACATGACTGAACATGACTGGGTGCTAACACCTTAATAAGAGATGGGCTTGTCTTTAATTGCTTTTGTAGGGCATCCTGTGCTATTTCCAAGGATACCCTAACCCCCAATAGCCACTTTTCAAGGACTTTAGTGGGAAGGCAAAGATCCCTTTCCACAAACCCTGCTTGGATTGTGACTGCTGGGATCCATGGTGCTGTGATGGGAATGACCCAGCCAGAGATCTTTTAAAATCTCACTGGTTTTATTGGGAGAGTGGAACCTTTTTCTGTTTTTTGGTCGTCATGCCTGATTATAATTTCCCTCCTTTAGAGAAGCATGTTGTGCCTGGGTAGCATCTAGGGCTGCCAAGTGGGGGCCGGGAAAACCCCTGCTTTGGAGGCCCGATTTCCGCCATGGCAGAATCGGGCCCCGGGGGGAACTCCACCCCCCAAAGCTGCGTCACCAGAGGTGATGCAGCCACGTCACTCACGTTGGGGGCATGGCCCAGATCGTCAGGGGGAAAACCATATGGTTTTCCCCCAGACGATCTGGGCCACGCCCCCAACGTGAGCAACGTAGCACGTCACTTCTTGTGACGTGCTGGTGGCGCGCACGCATCCTGGAGGAGCTCCCGGAGCCCGGCAAGACTCCCCCACTGCCAAGGGTAAGTACACATGGCAACCCTAGTAGCATCTGAATCAAGTGCCATTGACAAGATGCATGTTGTAAGGAAGCTGATTAAAAACATGTGTTGTGATCTGTAGGAGATGCTAGCAGCAGCCAGGTCAGTCAGACCTAATCTTTATGTGATAGCTGAACTCTTCACGGGCAGTGAGTACATTGACAATGTCTTTGTCAACCGCCTTGGAATTACCAGTCTGATTAGAGGTACCCAAAAAATGCAAAAGTCATGCATGGAAGGACTGATGTGGGATTGCTGTGTATGAGTCAGCCTCCTAATATCGAACTAATTTTGTGTTTTTATTTATCCTATTCTTGTCTCCTTTGCAAATACTTTCCCTTCCCCCATCACACACACACACTTTTGTTTCCCCTTTTTTCTTTCATTTGTGTCTTAATTCCTGGATTTGTGCTAACTTTCATGCATTGCCTTAACTTTACCGTGTTTGATTCTTAATTCTTTGGCCTTTTCCTTTCCTTTTTTGCTGTGTGGCATTTTCCCTGCTGTCCAAATCCATGCCTAGCCTTGTGCCCTTTCTTTTCTTCTGTTCTGCCTTTTCCCTCTCTGTGGCTTCCTCGGCTGTGCTTTTTGCAGTACATGCTGGACGCGGCTAGAAAATTGCGGCCCGATTTGTATGTAGTGGCTGAACTATTCACAGGAAGTGAGGAGCTGGATAATGTCTTTGTGAATAAACTGGGCATTAGCTCTTTAATAAGAGGTAGGCTTGCTGTGAATTGCTCTACTTTGTTCCTTGAGATTGTGCATGAAGGAAATGAATTGGCAAAATATTGACTTTGTATCACTTGCAAATACTTAACAATGCATTCCAGTTTTATAACTTATTTCACAATAATCAAAGCACTGTGGTCTACAGTAAGAAAGATGGTCTTACATATTTCAAATAGTGGTGATAGCTACAACCTCATTCCTGGAACCTGGTCGTATGAAGACATCCATCTCCTTTTGCTGTTGGAGATATAACACAGTCGGCCCCTAAGCATGATTATCGGAAAAGGGGTGACTATGTACTTCCTCTACTCTGGAACACGAGTTTCCCCCTGGTTTTCCCCTACTTGCATTAGCCATGGTTAAGGATTATAATGACACTGACCTTAATCATAGCTGCCTAAGTTCCTCCATAACTAAAAGCAAAACACTGGTTAAGAAGGAGCCTGGTTAACACAGAACTGTTATTAAAATCTGTACACATGTAACCATTAACCATCATTAAAATAGGGGGAAAGAGATACTTGATGAGATGGAGGATGGAAAAGTAGAATTCTGTAGCATATCACTGATCTCTTAACCAAAGCTAAGCGACTGGCCATTCTCCATCTACATTAGTCCTTTGTGGATTAGCTGAATTTTTGTTCTTATTGTGTCCCCCCCCCTTAAGAAAAACACACACACACATTAATTGATGTTGTACTAATGGTACCCATGGCTGTAGCTATCAGCAAAGGTCAATGGCTCGAGAGAATTTTCCCCCCAAGTATTTAAGTGATTATATTAGTTACATGTTTGCTCGCCTGGAATGCAGTGCATGGTTCTTCATGTTCATGACAAGTATTAACACGGGTCTTGTTCTGTAGAGGCAATGAGTGCATACAACAGTCATGAAGAGGGGAGATTAGTTTACCGCTTTGGAGGAGAGCCAGTTGGGTCTTTTGTGCAGCCACGTTTGAGGCCTCTGATGCCAGCCATAGCTCATGCACTGTTCATGGACATTACACATGATAATGAATGTCCAATTCAGGTAAGCAATGGGAATGGATTGTAACTGTTCAGTATAGGTTTCGTTATGAACCAAAGTTTAGTGTAAATATGTTTTAAAGTAATGATCATTTTAATGCCTATTTTGAATTGTAACTTATTGATAGGTGCTGAGCAATGTTCCCTCTAAGCTGTGGAGTCTTGTGAGCAAAAATTCTCCTTTGTGAGCTACTGGCATAAAAGTTGTGAGCAAGAGATTTGGCTACTGCATCAATGAGTGTGCTCTGGAGCCATCCTTCCTGAGCAAAGACAAAAAATGTGTGAGCCGGAGGCTAAAAAACTGTGAGCTAGCTCACACTAACTCCGCTTAGAGGGAACACTGGTGCTGAGTAGCTCTTAAAGATGTGTTTGATTTTACTTCTGCTGCACTTAACAAAAAATCTCTGTCTCCAGCAGCTAAAATGTTATAGAAAGAAAGCATTCTAGTGTAGCTATGAGTGACTGTTGATAGTTCAGCCTAGACTCCATTAAGCTGCAATGTATCCTTTTGTGAATCTCTAGCTTCTGTCCTTCTTGGAAAGTATTAAAATGGGATATATAGGTGCAGGTATATATTTAAACCTGATTTTATCTCATTTAAGACATTCAACAGTTTGAGGCTTGATCTGTACACATGTCAGGTACATAAGCCCTACAGTATTAGATAACATGAGAGAGAGAGAGAGAGAGAGAGAGAGAGAGAGAGAGAGAGAGAGAGAGAGAGATTGGATTTATACCCCACCCTTCACTACCCGAAGGTGTCTCAGAGTGGCTTACAAACTCCTTTCCCTTCCCTCCCCACAACAGACACCCTGTGAGGTAGGTGGGGCTGAGAGAGCTCTGACAGAAACTGCTCTTTTTCAAGAACAGCTCTTATCAGAACTACGGCTTGCCCAAGGTCATCCAGCCAGGTGCAAGTGGAGGAGTGGGGAATCAAACCCCGTTCTCCCAGATTAGAGTCCGCACACATTACCACTACACCAAACTGGCTATCCTGTGGTACTATCCTGTTTCCAAGTTGCCCCACTTTAGACTGCAGGTGGGGCTTACGCCATTGACTGTTCCTCCATACAAATAACTTCCCTATACACAGGACAGAAGCATGTTGGGGGAAAGGCTAAACTAGAATGGTTCTCCCCATCAAGCAGCTCTTCTGTGTGATGCTTCTTAATGGAGGAACTTTGACATTTGAGCCTCCGCTTACACTCCGAAGTGGTACAAGACAAACAGTAGTTTGCCAGGATACCTACTGTTTATGGGAACAGGTCTTACCTTGGACTTCTATACTGCATCTGTGATCTCCCATAGGTAGCTTAGCCAGAAGACACTCACATACACATACATGCCCAAAGGTGTCAAGTTATGCCCAGGTGAGCCAAGAGCCTACAGCTGCATTCATGATAAAACCATAGCTTATAAAATGTGGCCTGATCAAACCATGGTTAGTTGAGATAGCCAATGCAATCAACAGCTGTGTTTGGCAGGACTTCAGCTAGGCTTTGTTCCTGGCTTGCAATATCCCAGTTTACAAACCACAGTTTGGTAGGGTAGCACCATTTTACAAGGCCACTTGGCTACAGAGACAGTACAGGAGGGGTACTGCTGGGAGATGGGAGAGGAAACCAGAGGCAGACAACCAAGGGTATACACAAAATTGAGACTTAAGTCAAACAGATGAGCCAGAGTTAGTGCAAACTATGGTTCAAACATACCAACTTTGATCTTGACATCTGAATGCACCCCTGTTAACTCAGAAGTTACTACTACTGTATTCAGAAGGGCTTACACCAAGGTGAGAGCTCATATAATTGCATTTTTACAGTGCAGTACTGAGCAGAGTTGCATCCTTCGATCCCATTGTCTTCAATGACTTAGTAGGATAGCTCTGTTTAGGATTACACTGTCAGAGTCCCTCGTACACTGTATCAAATATAAAGCCAGGCTTTTTACCCTCTGTATCAATAAAATATATACTGCAGCAGATTGTGAGCTTGTACCTGACAAGTATAAGTATGGCATATTTCCTGCAAACCTCTGTATTTTCTGTATATGAATACAATATTACCTGAATAAAGAAGACTAGATGCTAGACTTGAGTAAATTTCTTTTCGCTGCTTATTGCTAGCATCGATCTGCTTATGATGCCCTTCCGAGCTCAATGATTGTTTCCATGGCATGCTGTGCTACAGGGAGCACTAGAGGCTATGATGAACTGGTGCCCCATCAGGTGTGTATTTTATCATTAACGGTTTTTATAGGCTTATAAATACAATTGCCATGGTATTGGAACATGTACCGCAATCTAAGAAATAGCTTGTGGATTTCCTTCCAATACAAAGAGATTGTGGCCCTAATTTATTTTCTTAATCTTTAAACATTGAAAGTTGAAGCTTTCGCAAAATCGGTCATACAAGTTTTTCTGATCGGTGAAAGGTTGCTAAATGGCTGCTTATTTCGATTTGCAGATTTCTGTGGTTTCTGAAGAGCGGCT